TCAGATCAGGAGCTGAACTCATGTCTATAGTGTGACGCAAAAGCTGCAATCAGAAGAGTGCAGTCAGATTATGCCATGCATCCAACCAACCACTCTCCTGTGCCAATAAGTTCTTCAACACTGCCATAGGAAAATCAAATCACTTGATATGGGATTTTTTTCCTCATTCACTGGCTTTATTAAATGTATGTAATAAAAGGAAAGGCTACACTTTATCCCCCCCCAATCCCTACTAATGCTGATACAGTGTCTTTAGTACTTTAAATCTCTGACCCGGAGCAAATTTGTAGAACAGGAGTATTGACTTTGATTGATGTACATTTCAAAGGGGTAACTATCCATTACAAACTGATGCTATGAAAATAAAGTGCTACATTTAAGGAATTCCCCTCTCTCAAGATTACTGGATGGTTAAAAGAACTGACCAGATGCACTAAATTCAGATCAGATTTTCTGACATGGAGGTTTTTGCAGCAGTTTAAGGGTTTCTGTCAATGAGCTGATGAAGTCTGGTCTTAGCGTATCAGATCAGATCAGTCTATTCACAGGTGTATTTAACCTCAGAACTGCATCAACCTGCCATAGTGTTCCTATTGATTTGTAGTGAGAAGAGCAATGTTAATGCAAATAAAAGCCTGTGTACACAGGCAATGCCAACTTGTCTTTGAAAGTGCAAGTTCCAGGTCTTACATTCTGTTTGTGTCAAATGAACAAGTAGGTAAGAAACAATGGAGGACGACAACCTTACAGTTTTAACCTCCTTAAAAATAAGCCAGGCATAGTAGCTTCCATATTCCTATCATGGCAGGTCCCCTTTTAAGTCATGTATACTGTCCAATTCCTACCTGGAGTATACTATCCATTTGCTCAATAAGATACATTTCCTAACACTGTGAATAGAGATACATCACTCTAGCGAGAAAGAAAACTGGCAACAGCTAAAATTGAATATTAGTTTCCCAGAAACATTTCTTCAGAACAAAAGATTTGCTAGTGTGGGAAATACGTTTCACCCATTTAGGAACCTTTGAAACCAGGGAAGGATAATTGACAAGGTCAAATACACATGGAGGGAAAAAAAAAATGCACATTAAACTGCAGTTCAAATGAACAACAGTTGACAACAGCAAGGAGGATTCTTGGAAGGATCCAGGATGCATCACATAGCAGCATGGACAAATACTCCATTGTACAGTAGGCTACATATACACAAATGATATAGTCCACAACCTTGTGATAGGCCAACAGTACTAACATCTGCTGTGCACACAGCTGAACAAGGCTTTCTAAAATATCAAGAAAGGAATTTCTGTTCTGGATCAGCTGTTTTACTCTGAAGTCTTTTTATGGAAATATGTTGAAATCTTTTTTGAGGATCCCGGTGTGACTGGAGCCTGGAAAGAGAACAAAATCAGAGATTTAGAATAAGCTACAACTAGCTACCAATCAGACATAATATCCAGTGATGTGGTGCCCATGACCCCAATAAGTCACATGTATGGAAGAATGTGAAAACGGAGCGTGTGGCCCCTCTTCCTCAGCAGGTCATTGCTGTCAATGGGTGCCAGAATTCCTCATTATTCCAGGCCAGAGACCCAAAAGCACTGAAGCTACAGAATTAGCATAACAGCCAGAGAATCAGTAACTGCAGTTACCACACTTTTCTTACAACAGAGGAAAAAAAAAAAAAAAAAAAAAACCCACACAATCACAAAAACAAAGTAATGTAATTTGATTATAATTTTTCCTGAAAATATGAGTTTTATAAACAGTTGCTCAAATATGATGCAACAAAATTTTGTAAGTACTATGTTTTTATTCTACAAGGCCTCGGCTTTACAAAAAAAAACACAAAAACAAAGTTATATTCTATGCCCACAGTTGATCCAGTAGAAAGCAAAAAAACAAAAAACAAAAAAACCCCCCAGCAAAGCATGATCCAATTTGCTACTGCAGGAGAAAAAATTCCTTCCCAATTCCCCCCATAGGCAATCGGATGTTTCCTGGATCAACTTTACCTATAAAAGAAATTCAGAAAAAAAATTCTGGGCTTTGAGTAATCTTAAAGAAAAAGAACAGTGTAAAAACACTGTACTAATGACACTGGGCAGGAAGGGGTTAACATCTGGAGCGATCAGAGGGTTAACTGCGTGCCTTTACATCACATGTAAGTGTGTGTTTTATTAGGGAAACATGCTGCTCTGTATTCCTCGCTGTGCCCTGTAGCAGTACTTCTGCTACAGAACGGAGAGGATGCAGTTAAAGATTAAAGATCATGGAGCTGCATTAATGTACTTTCTTAAAATCGGTTTTGAACTTTAAACCACTTTCCTGCCGCCCTATAGCAGATATACTGCTACAGGGGTGCACAAAATCACATATATATACACATGATTTTGCATTTCCGGGTAAGGGGCGCATGCGAGCCGCATGCACACCCTACCCACGCCCTCGGCTGTCAATCACCATGTTCCAGGCGGTGATTATGCGGCAGCACCCGTGATCAAGGTGCATTACCGACCGAGGGAGAGAACTGTATGTAAACAATACAGATCTCTCCCGTCAGCTCCTGCACATTGCTTTGTATGGTGCTGCAGAGCCATACAAAGCAGTGTTTACAGTTGAAAGCAGACACAGCACACAGTAAAACAGCTTATGTGGGGTCAAAGAGTTAACAATGTGGTTTTTAAACCGCCATTTGTAAACGCTTTAGCTTTCACGTAAACCAATTTACATGTATTGGGATTTTTGTTTTTAGCACAGACATGTAGCAGAATACATTTTGGCCTAAATTTATGACTTCCGATTTTTTTTACTGGACGTGTTTAGCAGCAAAAAGTCAAAAATATTGTTTTTTTTTTTCAAAATTGTCAAATTTTTTAGCGCAAAACACAAAAAAAAAAAAAAAAAAAACGCACAGGTGATCAAATACTACCAAAAGTAAATATGTAAATTTCATTTTAGTGCAGCGCTGCATATGACTGCGCAATTGTCAGCTAAAGTAATGCAGCTCCGTATTGCAAAAAAATGGCCTGGTCAGGAAGGGGGGGGCTATATCCTCTCTAGGGCAAGTGGTTGAAAACACACAAAAGAAAAAACAAAAAAACACCAGGTCTGGCACAGATTCCTCTTGACAAAGAAAATAAGGTCGAGTTTGTGGAGAGGCGTCTGCAAGAGCTGCAGTCAGATTAATTAGCACATCTGACAAGCACCATCATGCCACTGTGTAGGAACAGATCAAGACAGAGGCCAACGTGACGCATCAGCTCCCACAGGCGTTGCTGCTGTGAACGACATCAAATAGTTGAAAATTCCGTCATGCACATGCCTCCCAGACATACTGTTCTACCAGGATCTATACTACAAAATGATCACATGACAAAATGGGGCCGATCACACACACCAATAAGAATCACAAGTTCTTACCCAGCCCTTTGCCTAGCAGGTTGTGGTATAAAGACAAAGGAAGGTTACCTAAAAAGGTCAAACCGTTCAGTAAAATCAACAGGTTAACCATATGATCAGAAATGTGATCTACTCATTGCAGCAGGTTTTGTCCCTGGCTGCACAGCCCCCCACACCTGCCAGCAACGATGCAGTGTAATACTCACAAGTGAAAAGGGAAGCTACCAGAAGAAAGAACTCAGTGGAGTGGAGGTCTGTCACACATGGAGGGGGGGGGGGGGGAAGGATGCCAATAGTGTGTGAAATGTGCAGTCTGCTCATTGCGTTTGCGTCTCTACAGCTTACTTTAGCAATTAAAAAAAAAAAAAAAAAAAAAAAAAAAAAAGAAATGGGGTGGGGCCCCCCCCCCCCCAAAATCCATACCAGACCCCTATCTAAGCAAGCCAACCATACCAGGCCACATGCCCTCAACATGGGGGGGGGGGTGGGGCTGGTGGCTGGGTGCCTTGAGGCTTGTTGAGGAAGAGGACCTCTCTCTTCCTCACATCCCCGGGCAGCGGTGGTGGGAGAGTGCAACAGACTTGGGGAGAAAAAAAAAAAAAAAAAGGAAGCTTCTGATGAACTCTTCTGCTGTCTGACAGCTCTTAAATAAGCCAAGGTGACCCCCGCCCCCCTGTGGCATTGACCCAGCATGCCCCATGGCTTATCCAAGAGCTGGTAGATGGCAGAGACATCAGACGGTGGAAGTCTTCTTTGTGAGCAGAGCTCTTTTATTTTTTTTACATCTGTTTGCAGGCGATGTTTATCGTGATTGATGTTGGATCTACTTTGGGTGACAATTTTTTTTTTTTTTTTTTTTTTAAATAAAATGGCTTGTCAAAAACTTGTGTTTTTACTCTTTTTGGTGTATGTACCCCATGTATTTTGGTGTTTTTTTGGGTATGTACCCCATACTCATTTACATTAGGGGGGTTGGGGCCACGATCTGGGGATTTTGATAAGTCACCCCCCACCACCACTAGCCCAGGGTTGTGGGGCAGAGGCCCTTGTCCTGCCCCAAAGCACCCAACCTCCCTAACAGACATTTGGCAAAACTGATAAAGGCACCAAATTCTTTTCTGCTCTATCCCAAAGTGAAAGATGATATTTTACACAAACAAATTGGGCTTTATATAACAACCAGTGGGAACAATTTGAAAATATCATGGAAACAAATAATAAGTACAAAAAGATACTTACAGGTATAGGGGAACTGGTTATATTCCTTGGTGATGCCTTTTTGGCACTCCCATTCCTTAGTGGTGGATGACTGGTAGGGCTTTGGTTTTCGGACTTGTCAGATTTCAGTTTGTGCCCTAATGCAGACAGCCAATTCTTCTCTGGAGTGCTGTTCTCCTTGTTGTGCCTCAAATTACTCTCTGTCCCACCAGGGGACTGTGTTCCAGGGAGCCTCTGCAGAGAGTTGGGAAACAGATCTCTCTTCATGGTCCTTGCGGAGTCAGCCAGACTTCGAAATCTGCTGTCAGCATTTGCAATGTTCTCCATAAAGGAGCACAGGTCATGCTTGGCCTTCTTCAGTCCAGGTTCCAGCTCTGTCACACAGTTACAGTTATTAAAACACTCATATTCTCTGCTTTATCACTGCTGGTATCCAGACGTCTCTTAGCCTTCTTCTCACAAACAGGGGACAGCCTAGAAGTAGACGCTCTGGGGTACTGCTCTACTGGGGTGAAGGCCTTTCGAGGAGATGGAGTCTTCATATCCGCCATATATGACCTCGGAGTACGCGTGATCCAGTCCTTAATGGACACCTTTGAAGCGGACATCTGTTTAGGAGATGAAGTGAAAGCTTCGGCCTTCTGTTTTGGTGTGTAGCATTTAGGAACTGTTGTGAAAGGAGAAGTTGGGGTGTTGGACGACATTGGGAGGTCCGCAGTGTAACTTGGAACACAAGTGGCTGGAGTAGGAGAAGCCATAAAACAGGGGCTTTGCACTAGGGTTGATTTATCAGGCGTAGATATTCTTGAGCCTGTTAATAGAATACACATTTATAGAGCATACTGTGATTGCACAAGCCTACAAACACACATTCTGGAAGTGACTGTCAGCCCCATGGGGAAGGCACTTTACATCAAGTAGAAGCAATGCACTTAAAACATAATTATTCCCTCTAGTTTACATGGGAGTGACCTGTAACCAAAATAGCTCCCCAGCTGGCTGGAACCCACAGACACTAGTAAACATTTCTAAATGAGATTTTGCTGTATTGGAGAATTGGGATAATAGCTGGTTTCCTAGTGGTTCTAAAAAGGAACACTTTGGAAGAAAACAGTTGAGATCTGGCAACAATGCTTCCAAAGAGATCACTGGAAATCTTATCTTTGCTGGCCTGTCAATTGCCCAATCTCACAAAATATCTCCCAGGACCTGGGTGCGCAGCTGATACACTACATTGACAGATACACACAATCAATCTTAAAAGGGGAGAGCATATTTTTATAAAAGTGAGCTTGTAACATTAACTTCTGTCCAATGACTGCCCTGCATTAAAAAAAAAAAATATAATATAAATATATGTGCGCAATTGTTTTTCTAGGAGCCTGAAAAGCATGGTACACGATCAGCAGACTGCAGGTGTAATGCAGGACTCATGCAGTCTATGTGTAAGCTGTGTGCTCATGCCAGCAAGCAGTTATACAATGACCGAAAATCAATTAACTACCACAATGCTCAACATTGCTCATGGAGAACTACAAGCCGACAGCAGCAAAGGCTGTTGGTACCTGTAGTTTTCCATTCATCGAACACTGACTGAATGACATGGCCAGGTGGGTGGGACCCTGGACAGCCATGTTTTTTTTTTCCCGTAAATGTTGACAGCAAGTCTGGAAGGTGGTCCCTCGGGTCCTGTCACAGTGATGTAGAGGATTGGGCTGCAGCTACAAGAGGGTAATAGGTGTCCTAAGGCCTGAAAAACAGATTGATAAAAATCTGACTGGTTGTAACACTTCTGCACACTATTAAAATGTGCTTTTCTTTCGGCCTCTATCCCCAAGGGAAAAATATCCCATCACTTTTCCATTTCACACTATCAGCCACAGGAAGCAAGGGAAACTGCTCAATGGGGACAGAGGAAAGAGAACAGGGACAGAAAAGAAAGAAACCTGACAGAAGTGCTAACTGATCCCCAACCTGTCCAAATGTAAGGCTTGGGGGGCATGAAATAGATAACATAAGGCCAATTGTGACAGCTTATGTAAACTGCAACATGAAAATCCAGCAGTATTTCAGTTGGTCTACGCCCATGAAAATGTTCAAGGTGGCAAACTGCTAGTTAGTTAGAAATAAATTACATGTTATTTATTTAATGAAAGAAACATTACACAAGGCACATTCATGTCTGAAGGCAACTACTTTGTCCACCTGAAACACTTGCCTACAGGAGTACAATCAATCTTCTGATGTGTCCAGCCAACAGAGTTTGCTCGTTCCGCTCCATTTTTGCTGCAGCTTCTCCTCAACCGCCAAACCCTCACAGTGTTATCATCAGAGCATGTAACAATCTGCACAACATAACAGGAAGAATGGGAGGCATGTGTTAACATTCACTACTAATAAAAAAAAAAAAATTATAGGTTGATTTACCAATAAAGATCACCAGTTCACTTCCATACTAAAAAAGTGTTGTCATCTTAACCAATATTACACAGCAGAAGGAAAAAAAAAAAAAAAAAAAAAAAAAAAAAAAAAATGTACCACCCCACAAAGGGGGACAAAGTGGTACCAAAAAAAAAAAAAAAAAAAAAGTAACATTTTATTGCAATATCAATTTAGTATCAATAAACCACCAAAAAAAAGAAGGCATTCATAAAAATCACCAGCATTGTGTAAGAACATTGATGTGTTTCAGACATATGCTAGAAAAACGCTGAACGCCGGACAAACAAGACAGACCAATAAGTTCAGCTAATCGTCTGGACGCCCAAATCAAAGAATGCAAAGTGTTAAACTGCAGCAAACACTAGAAAAAGTGGCTAGATATCCCCTATGCTTAGATTGAGAATCAATCATTGCCAATGCTGATAATGGGCCCAAAAGGTGCAACATAATAGGCTAAGTATACAATCAAAATTGTGGCCATCCTTATCAAAAGTGCGTGGCACCGGAGGAACTAATAAATTCATCCCCTAAAACCAGTAATGGGTCAGTTCCTCTTTTTCTGGTGGCTTATAGTCTGGGAAGATGTTAAAATACAGAGTCTCATTCATATAGATTCTCCCTGAGGAAGAGTGGAAAAACAGTGGCAACAGGTTCTCAAGCCTTATGTGGCTAGTATTGATATGTAAGGGCACAGCGGAAGAAGCATAGCAAGTGTAGCACATATAGCAAGCACACTGGGGAAATTTGACGAACAACCCTGAACTATCCAAAATTGTTAGACCCACACCAAAAATGGTAGTATGTCAGGCCCACAATATAGGTGAAATCCTGACAATCAGAATGTGTAAAAAATCCAGTGTCAACCTGGCTAACAGCATACCCCTGCTCAAAAGGGATGCGTTTCTATGAGGAAAATGCCAAATGTGTCCATAGGTAGATTGTACCAACATTTTAAGATGCTTTAGATTGATCCTTCACAAGGTCCACACTCCCATGGATGGCTAGAAGCCACCAGCCATCTTGTGAACTTAAGTCCCCAGTCACACCAGTACGAATTGTCATGCGAGTTCATGGTTTCGATGAACGCAGTCAAATCGGTGCGACGCTGAAGATTTTTATAGTAGTTCACGCACAACGTTTTGCAAGTTTAGGTGCGACTTGCATAGACATATGTGCAAGACGACAAACAGATGTCTTCCAGGTCCCACCTGACGTTGCACTGACCTCTGACTTTGAAGTCATGCAAATTTAACCACCTCCTGGCCCATGTATATAAACGGTCGGACGGTGGCAGTGCAGGGTCGGGTGGCCATTTATAAATGGCCTCCCCACACCCTGCTTGTGCACGCTCCCTGGGAGTGCGCAGCACCGTGATCTGGTGTCTGCTGTGTCCTCTGGACACAGTGGAACACCGATCGTGCGAGGTCCCGATGTGATCACAGATTGGCCAATCAGTGATCACATGCAGAGTAGTAAGCAAGATGTTACTTGTGACACTGCTTACTACGTGTGAAATCTGTGAATGATCACAGAGGTCACATGGTACAAGGTTAATCACAACAGCCTTGTACCACGTGACAAGCTGTGACCAATATCAGCTCACACAGTAGTTCTCAATGGCTGCAAGAATGCAGCTAGAGAGGAGAAATGATTGCTTTTACAGCCGTTATGGGTGTAAAAGCAATCCGTGTAAAAAAAAAAAAAAAAAAAAAAAATCCTTCATCACCCCCCACAAGTAGTACAGTCTCACCATGGTGACACTGTACTGCTAGGGTGACAGTATGTAAAAAAAACCAAATATATATATAAAAAGTTTAACTATAATTTTTGGTTAACTAATTTGGGTTATTTTTTTTTTTTACTAAAAAGATAAAAACGGAATAAATTTTGGCCAATATTTATGATGAAATACTATTTATTTGCAAAATTTTACAAGAAAAAAAATTCTCAAAATTTTAGGACTTTCATTTACATAGGAAAAAAAATAAAAAAATCCCAGTGGTGAATAAATACCACCAAAATAAAGCTTTATTAGTCTCTAAAAAATTAATATGGTTACAGTGTTGCATGACCGCGCAATTGTCATTCAAAGTGCGATAGCATTGAAAGCTGAAAATTGCCATGGACAGGAAGGGAGTAAAAGTGTCCGGACTGGAAGTGGTTAAGTCACACAATTTCAAAGTTGGATTCGGTGTGACTAAATACTTGGCCTCCAACAGCTGTACAGTTATCAGAGCAGCACTTTGAAGATTTCAGGAGCAGGGAAGTATTGCACCATTTGGGTTGCACAAAATGGGATGGGTTTTTTTTAAAAGGAGAAGTTCAGCTTTAGTAACATGTTACACCCATATTCACGGTGTAACATGAAACATGTTACTAAAGTGCCTGCTAGTACCCTGACCTGATCTCCCATTGCGACAGCAGGCAGGGGATCTTCTATCGCAGTCACATTTCAAATACAGCAAGGCCCACACAACCGCATTATTCAGTTCAGTGAATGAATGGACTACAGTCTGCCATTGCAACAGACGGCTTGCAGTTTTCAATAAACTGCAATGGTGCCGGTTAGTGATCTCGGAAATTATTGATCTTTCTGGACTCAGTCACTGTCTGCCTGTATGGGAGTTATGGGCAGACTGTGTACCAAGACTCTGCAGGAGCCTGACACTGCAGTAGGTGCAATAGGTTACTGGTTAACCTCCAAAAAAATAAAAATAAATTACATTATTTTTTTTTATTACGTAAACTTCGTTCACTATAAGTGGACTTTAAGTGACTTGGTGTCACTTAAATTTTCTAATGGAAAAGATGGATATTGGCTTTAAAAATAAAGATTGTTGTGAACGCAACATATTGCCTGAGTGCAGGCTGCTTCAGACAAAGGAAACTAGTATTTTTTTTTCCAGTGGACTGCTTGAAAAATTAAACAGGCAATCATAATGCCACCTACCTTGGTGAAGTCAGATGGACACCATGTAACTGAAGTGACCTCTTGACTGTGCCCCTGGAGCATGATGGGTGAAGCCAGAGGCGTTGACACCTTGGGGGGAAGAAAAAACAAAAACAAAGTTTAACGATGACCCATTTAGACAACGCTGGCATTCACAAAGACTGGAACGGCAATTAAGTTCAATTTGTTGTAATTGATTTTTAAAGAAACTAAATGGTAAAAATGATCACCCCCATTGTGTACCTTTCCAGCTGGTTATTCATTGACCAATATCTACATTGAAAAAAAAAAAAAAAAAAAAAAAAAAAAAAAAGTCCAAATCTGGGGTAAATGGATATTTTTTATATTTCTTTGCCTCCTCTTAGGGGCTGGATCCATCCATTTGCCATGCACTGGTGCCGAAAAGGGTCATTTAATAGAGATTTTCCTTGATCACACTAATCCAACAGGAAAATACTTACCAGTTTAGAAACTGAGGACATGACAAGGATTCTCAGAGCTCTGTGGATTAGCTAAAGAGAAAGCACAGTAGAACCTGCTAAATGTCACACTGCCTGCGAAGAACCTGTAGGAATGGTGGTGGAGTCACTGTACCAACTCACGTGCATGTTGGCGTGTTTCACCTTGCGTATAAGCTGGCTTTTTTTTATTTTTTTTTATTTTTTGTTAATATTTTAAAGGCCTGCACCTGCCTATATACATCACATCTGTCTAAGTGTCTTATATCACAAGATTGTGTGGTTTGGTAAAACTATTGGCAAAGGTAACAAGGCTTCCTGTTTGCACTAACTATACGCTTGTGGTTAGCTGGCAGGTAGTGAAGCAGTTTACATTTGCAGCGGAAAGCAGATCTTGTGGTTCTGTGTTAGGGTCCATCAGTCTTCTTGCAGAAAACCGATCTTTCATCATGCATGCAAATTTTAAGCGTCCTTAATTTAACCTGTGTAAAAGCCTCATCTACAACTTAAAGTGTTACTAAACCCACAACCGTAAGATCAGTCTGTATATGCAGTAAAGCATGCTGGTTAAACTCGCTGTGGAACCTAAGTGGTTAATCCTCTGCATTGTGTAAAAAGGCGGCTTGATCCTGACTTCTCTGATCCTCCCCTTCCAGTGCCCTCCCCTTTTAAGACATTGTGGAGTCACTGTGCACATGCTCAGTTTGTGGTGTGCTGCTAGAGGGCTGTATTTCTTTTCTTGGGAGAGTGCATGTGATCAGCGCAGGGCCAATCAGCAGTGTCCAGACAAAGGTCAGGGGTTCCACATCCTCCTAGAGCAAAATTAAGACTCCTCCTACAAGCGTTAACATTTGTTCTGCTGAACACTGATAAACGCAACAAGACTGCTCTAACTGCTGGTGACAAAAGGTATTTAGCAGTTGATATTTATTAAAATAATTGCATTTCCATGCTCTGTGTACTGTGGGAGACCAGATAGTGTGGATGCAGGGTCCTGGGTTTAGTAACACTAAGTTAATGTAAATGTGAGCTACAGGCAAAGTGCTAATTTCTGACATGAAATAAGACAGACGCAAAAAGGATCAGCTTGGCAGCGAGGCAACTGTCATGGTCAGATCTGATTTTCATGACACAGGTTTCCAGTTTAGGCAAGGATTAAAGTGATTGTAAAAGGGAAAAATGTATTTATTCTTTCCTTTCAAATTAAACATGTTATACTTACCTGCTCTATGCAATTGTTTTACACAGGGCAGCCCTGATTCTACTTTTTTCGCTGCACTAGTGTGTCCATTGACACACACAGTGCAACAACTCAGCCGCCCCCCCCTACACACACACGCTGTAATTGACAGCAGCAGGAGCAAAAGCTGCTGCCTCTAAGCCAGAAAGGAAAGAGCGCACAGCACTGGATCGACATCAGGCTCACGCAAGTATAATGGGAGGTTGTACACCCCTTGAGGGTTAGGGACTGATGTGAATGTACAATATATGTGTGTAAAGCGTAAATTGACGGCGCTATATAAGTACCTGAAATAAATAGGTTGAGGGGGGGGGGGGGGTGTTTTACGTCGAACTGCACACAGAATGTATAAATGTTAAAATTTTTGTGTTTTTTTTTTTTCCGTCTTTAGAACCACTTTAATGGCGCTCTATATTTTTTATTTAAATTTTAGGTACTTCTATAGCGCCATCAATTTATGCAGCACTTTACATATCTATTGTACATTCACATCAGTCCCTAACCCTCAAGGGGCGTACAATCTAAAGTCCCTAACTCACATTCATAGATACACATATTAGGGACAATTTAGAAAGGATCCAATTAACCTACCAGCAATTTTTTTGGAGTGTGGGAGGAAACCGAGTACTCGGAGGAAACCCACACATGCACAGGGAGAACATGCAAACTCCAGGCAGGTGGTGCCATGGTCAGGATTCAAACCAATGACCCCAGTACTGCCAGATGGAAGTGCTAACCATTTAGCAACTGTGCTGCTCACTTTTCCTATGCCCAGAATTAAAATTTGCATATTTAAAATGTTCTCATTTCAACCATCAGGTGGAGCTTTTGTCTCCTTTTCATGGTTTCTATTTTCTAGTTTGTTTTTCTGCTTCCTGAAGAAAAAAAAAAAAAGTTTAGAATTATTACGTTCGACCAGGGGTGGGCAAACTTTTTGACTTGAGGGCCGCAATGGGTTCATATATGGGACCCGGGGGCCGGAGCAAGAGTAGATGAATGATGTGTATGTGTCATCCATAGTAAGTATAGTAATATTCCCCCATAGTAATTAATCCCCCATATAGTAATTCATCCCCCAAAATAGTAATTCATTCCCCATATTAAGTCCCCAAGCCCCCCGTGTCAATTCACTTACCTTTGCTCCGCGCGTTCCTCTCGCCGTGTTCCCGCGCCGTTCCGGTGTAGCACGAAAATCTGTCTCCTATGAGGATCTGTCCCCCTCGACGTATCTGCGCATGTGCCAGTTTCAGGCATTAGCAGCCGATCGGCGATCTCCGGCACATGCGCAGATACGTCGAGGGGGACAGATCCTCATAGGAGACAGATTTGCATGGTCTTCAGGGCGGACTGTGAGAGGAGCCTAGCTCCTCTCACGTTCGTCACGCTGCCCCGCCTACACACATCCTGACAAGCCATCCTGACAGTATAACGCTCCGCGGGCCGGATTAAAAGGTCCGCCGGGCCATATACGGCCCGCAGTTTGCCCAATGCTGCATTAGACACTAGGTACTAGATGTGCCATCAATGGTTTCACCCTACAACTCTCTGGAGAGCATTAAGGAATTCAGTATTTTGCAGCAGCATTTCCCAAACTTGTCCTCAAGTTAGGAGTTTAGCAGGAAACCTCACATACAAAATATTGATGGTCTCTGTCCAGAGGATATGGGCAATACAAATTGTCAGATGACAGGTTTGGGTATACTTTAGTATTTATGCCAGAACAAAGTGTAATAGAAGGGTTAAAAAAGGATTTCTTCTAGAGTATATTATTTCCAGTGCCCTCAAAGATCAATTGATCAAAAGCCAAGGCATCCGGTCACGTGGTGTTTGCAGCAGAAGAGCAACCAGTCTGATCTCTGTTCTAGTATCCAAGAATTTAGTTACATGAGCAGCAAGGAAAAAAGGGACCTGAAGCAGCATATTCTCCAGTAAAGTCAAGCCTTTTAGCCTCTTTCAACCATGCACACGAAAACCTTGAATGTTTGTAATGTTTATCTCCATCTAGTGACCATATTGATTCTTTGTTATTGGATTGAGACATTTCAAGAAAAAACAGCTATTAATATTAGTTTTGTGGTGCCCCTGCGAAGGATTAAGACATCTGATGAGCAAATGTTTTACACAAACCCCTAAAAACGGGGCTTTCAGGATTTTTTTTTTTTTTTTTTTTTTTTTTTTAAACACAGCAGACCACAACATCAAAGTACTTTTGTAAAGTTTGAGAAATGCTCAGCTCAGGCATAAGTGTTCATCTAAGCTTTAAGGATGTGAATAGCCAAGTTTGTAAACACATACTTTTGCATAATTTGCATTCAAGCAATGAATTTAAGAGGCAACTCCCTGACAGAGAAAGGCATCTAGACTATAATCCTAGCAAGCAGCTAGTCTGTTCCCAGCCAGCAAAACAATGAGCAGCTGTACAGCCCAATCAATGTGAATCCAGTGAAGGCCTCCATAAAGCTTTATTATGTATACATCTTTATTACATCACATCCACACGGTTCTAGTGTAGCCTGCTGCACCTTTAAATCATTATACTACTATAGAAGCCATTTAGGAGACGCGTGAAAGCATTATTATGTGGCTGACATGTGGCCGAGTAGAGAGGCCATCTGCTTCCCAGCAGACATACAGGCACACTTGCACTGTGTGTTGACAGAGGAGGATCAGGAGACAGCCCTCACCAACTGCTCAGCTGTCCTAAACACAGAATTTGCTTTGAGAAAAACCCATCCATTCATTAAAGCACTTGTGTTATGCTGAGGTCACAGAGCACATGACTGCACAGGGTGTGCTATACTATGGGGCAGTTTTAAGGAAGTGATATTCAACCTAGTCACTATGGGTCAGAACAGAAATTTAAAACTACTTTTTAGACTATATAATAGGCATGTATCTTGACTCTAAATAAGGCTGACCTCAAAAAGGAATTCTACTACCTCTACGTTTTGTACTCCTGTCACTTCATATTTCAATTTCTACATTACATATGTAGAGTGTGTGTGTGTGTGTGTGTGTTGGGGGGTTGTAACAGTTAGCACTCTCTGCTCAGAGTGGTGGAGAGAACTGAGCAATCAGCAGTGTCTGATCGCTCAGTTCTCAACCTTAAAAAGGTGGCAAGGAACAGATGTCACATCAGATCGATGGTGCATCCACCTATGCAAGTACGATTTAAAAAAAAAAAAAAAAAAAATCCTAATAAATCCCATACTTCTCTTTAGTGAAATGCTAAAGACTACCAGAGAGGAGAAAGACCCGTGAAGTCACTATACCAGCCTGCAGAATCTTGGCAATAATCGTATGTCATGAGAGAGATAGATACACACACACACACACATATATATATTTACACACACACTTTAAAAACACACCTGTAAGATATCTAACCATTCAGCAACACATTCCTGGCAGGGACCACATTTCCAGGCAGCACCTGACAAGCGTTGTGTTCTGAACAGCCCACACATCTCACACTGCCAAGATTAATTGAAAAGTACAGCACAGGTGACTGGCTGGAGCCAATAATCCTGGGTGACTGGCCTTCTGTTATTCTGTAACCACGCCAGACTCTTATGGGAAGGAACTGCTCTCTAGCAACTGTCTCATATAACATATCAATCAAGCCTCCCCTGACTTCTCAGGTGTCCTGGATGTTGTATTGATCCAAAGACGAGGTTGAAGAATTAAGCTCTTGTTTGACAGGACAAACAGATCCGTTGCTACACATGCTTAAAAAGGATGGAGTTACACTGCAAGATCAATATATGTTGTATAGAGAAGGTAAACTGCATGTCACAACTTTCCAGTCAGCTACAACAATTCTTAAAAAGGACACCTATCAACAAAGAAGTACATGAACTGGCATAACTGACCTTTTAAAACTGGTTGGCTTGCATGTTCATTTCACACTAGCTTAGTAAGAGTATGCAAACATTTAACATTTCTGTGTTTAATCTAGGGTACTAAAATGTGTTAATGAACTTGGACTTTGCTTGGTGCATACTTGCATCAGGGTCAAAGAATGAACCCAGACAGCACAGCCATTGCCATTATCAGAGGTCAGTAAGACAAGGCTCTGTATGTTGGTCAGGATGGGTCCCTTTAATTACTTAGACTACAACTAATGCCGGCCATAGACGGGTCAAAAATCGGACGATTTTTCGGCCGAAAATAAATTGGCCGATTTTCGCACTGTTAGTGGGTTAATTGGTCGGGCTGTTTTTCGGGTTTATTGCACAGTTTTTTTAAAATTGGTTATGTTGGAAAATTTGCAGCCGATTTTCCCGGCAATGATGGGCATATCGGCCGAACGTTTTACCGATAAAAAAATCCGCGCATGAGCCGTGACCTGCAAGGGACAGAAGTTATGGGGTGAACGTTATGATTTTGTCGACTGGTTTTTTTTTTTTTTTACCGTTGGTGGTAACATACATACATATATACATATATACATATATACATATATACATATATACATATATACATATATATATATATACATATATATATATATATAGTGGGAATGTCCAAAAAATTCAAATATTCTGGAAAACAATAGTACATTTAATAGAGACCATTACTGAAATGAACATCGGGTTAGATCCAGGGATGTGTTTATTGCACAGCTCAAAGCTATCAGTTAGCAAATATAAGAAATTAGGTTTAGGGTATTATATGAACGCAGCAAAGAGTCTGATCCCCAAGTATTGGAAGAAAATAGAAGTACCGAAGGAGGAGGGGAGGATTGGATAGAAAGAGTAAACTGGATTAGTAAGAAGGAGAAGCTATACTATATGCAGGAAGACAAGATGGAGGTATTTTCAAAATGGGAAAAATGGGAAAACTTTGTAACAAATACGAGAAAGTGAAATGCAGAATGACATAGAATTGATAGATGGGTAGGAAATGCTTGCTTTGGAAAAAAAGGTAGTGAAAAAACGCAGAGTGGGAGGGGGTAATGTTTTAAGAAGGGGAAAAATAAAGTAATAAGAAAAATTGTATATTTATTATGAATGAGATGAAAGTGTTCTTTTTTTTGTTTTTACTGTGAAAAAAATAAATATTTAAATTAAAAAAAAAAAAAAAAAAAGTTATGGGGTGAACTTTGATTTTGTCGACGATTTTTTTTTTTTTTTTTACCGTTGGTGGTAACGTCGGCCGAACGACCGACCGATTTTTTTCATTTCCCCTCGAAAAATCGGCCAATGTTTGGCCTGCATTACACAGGGATGCCTATAAAAATGTTTGATATTGAAAAAGCTTTGTGGGAAAAAAAAAAAAAAAAAAGTTTAAAATGTTCACCCATGGATGCAATACCTCCTCCTCTCCTACTATAGACTAGAACATTTGAATTAGCTATACAAAAGCTGCTTTATAAGCAAGATGGCAATGCTGGGCTTCCCTAAAAGAAATCCTAGCATATTCTGCAGACTACAGATACAATAAATTCAAGATTCTGTCTTCCAGCTAGGTAGATCAGGCCACCTGACTTCACAAGCTGCAAGCTTGTTAAAGGACAGCAATGTAAACCTGGCTGCATGCACATGGTCAGTGTACCAGCCAAACTACAATTATCTTCATATGGGGATTAGTATTGGCAGCCACCCTGTTTCTCATGAAAGGTTTGTTATAAAGGCGCTTCTTGGGTCAGTTATGATGCAATGATGGAGGTGGTCACAGACAGAATAGCTACCACTGACTATCAAAGCAGGGTGGGCACAAATTATTTTGGCAGTCTGGCTAATATGCACATTAGAGCTTCAATAGGCTGGAACAAAAACACTAATAAATTAATATATATATATATATATATATATATATATATATCCCCCTCTCTCTCTCCCCCCTCTGCCTCCCTCCCTCTCTATATCTATCATTTGAAAGACAATACTCCATACTTCAAACACTGAATCCACCCCCACTTTTATTAAAATCTGGAGAATGTACAGCAGAATATACATCACTAACCTTCCAAATGTAAGCATTGTGGTCACTGGAGCCACTGAGCAGGAACTGACCATCGGGACTGAGACTGGACTTTATGTAGAAGGTGGAGTTCAGGTGACCACTGAAGACTGACACTAAAGTGAGGGGGAGAAAAAAAAAAAATGTTATGCAATCTTTTTAACCAAATATATTGTATTGATTTTTACCTTTAAAAGGCGAAGCTCGCCTTTTTAAATAACAAAATGCACATATTTGCAGGAAGCAGAAGAAAAAAAGGAAGATCCAGCCAGGAGGAGGGGGGGGGGGGGGGGGGGGGTTGTCGTGTCCCAGTATCTACTCTGTTAGCAGTAAGAAACCACATTTATACAGATGTCAACAAGTACACACACATAATAGGGCCAATTTAGATAAGAGCCACTTAACTTACAAGCATGTCTTTGGAGTGTGGGAGGAAACTGGAGTACCTGGAGGAAACCCACTCAGGCACAGGGAGAACATGCAAACTCCAGGCAGGTAGTGCCGTGGTTGGGATTCAAATAGACGACCCTAGTGCTGCTAGGCAGAAGTGCTAACAGCTTTCCATGTCGACAAAGTTTCAAACACTATTGTTATGTGCATGCATTAATTCTTCCACATTGTGAATATAATCTACATTTCTAATCCACCCTTCTATAGTTGGAAATTTGTATGGATGTACTAATATTTTGCAATAAAGCCCTTAGTAGTATTTAATAGATGCAGGAAGGGACTTCTCAGGCACATCTGCACCTTGGAACAATTATCTCCATAGGTACAGTATGTGAAAGCCTGTTATATGCCAGACATTACTAGCAATTTTTCCCAGAAATGACAATATTTTAGGGCACATCCACCAAATATGTGCAAAAGTTCACCACACATTCGCCAGCATAAGGGTGTTTTTTCTGGTTGGAACTTTGGCACCCTTACTGGGTTATAACTCATCTCGCCAAAAGTGATTTATATAGTCATCTGTTATTTCAATATCAAATTAATGAAAAGCTGGCTAACTTCAGTATTTTTGCTTTATGGCGATTGAGAGTTTAGGTTCTGTCTCTCATACAAGGATTTTACACAATTTTGAAGGAACTCGAGTTCTACCGTATAGTCTTGGGGACAGAATAATTTCTCCATCAATGATCAAATTTCATCTATCTGAAGTAGTTGCAAAGTGAGGTCACATATCTTAACATTCATTACAACTTTCAAATGCAACATGCCCACCTTACATGCAAAAAAACAACCTTCCTTCCCTGGAAGGAAATATCTTGCAGCCATCAAGGGTGAGGCATGTCCCATCCCAAATCCTAAACCACATACACCAGGAGTGGGCCAGTATCCCTAGATAATTCTCGGTAATCCTCTGGTATCCACATCACCTTATCAAGTGCCTCTTTACTTGGCATCTCCATCTTGCCACAACTTATATTAACCATTTCCCGGCAGCCCTATAGCAGTTTTACGGCTACGGGGGGGGGGGGGCCCACTGCGCAAAATCATGGAAATATACATTTTTTGCATTTCCAGGTAGGGGGTGTGTGCCACCGGTTCGTTCATTGGCTCATGAAGATGTCAATCACTGGGTCCCCACCAGAGATTCACGATCGTTACGGAGTGTAAACACAAATCTCTCTCCTGTCAGCAGGGACGTGCGGATTTTCAACTCTCTGCAAAGCAGAGAGATAACCAGCACGTCTCCTAGTAAAAACACAACATAGTACATATTAAGCACACTAAACACACAGTTAACCCTTAGATTGACCCAGATGTTAACCCCACCCTGCCCAGTGTCATTAGTACAGTGTCAATTCTTTTTATTAGCACTGATTACTGTCACTGGAGAGGTCAGTGGCATTTAATCAGGTCCCATCCAGTGTCAGAATGCCTGCCGCAGTTCTGCTATAAGTTGATCGCCGCCATTACAAGCATAAAAAAAAACAAAAAACAAAAAAAATAAATAAATAAATTCTAGAATTTGTAGATTCTATAACTTTCACACAAACCAATAAACACTTATTGGGATTTTTTTTCTTTACCAAAGACCTGTAGCAGAATACATTCTGGCCAAAATGTATGAAGAAAGTTTTATTAATCTTTTTTTTTATTGGATATAGTGCAAGAAATAAAAAAACCCAGTGATGATCAAATAGCACCAAAAAGAAAGCTATTTGTGTGAAAATAAATATGAATTTCGTTTTGTGTACAGAGTTGCATGACCGTGCAACTGTCAGTTAAAGTAGCACAGCGCCGTGTAGCAAAAAAATGGCCTGATCATGAACGGGGTAAATCTTCCTGGAGGGCAAGTGGTGGAAAAAAAATAAAAAAAAGAATGGCCAAAGCTAATTTTTTATATATACTTCTCCTAAAGGTCCAGGAGCGCACTTAGTGCTGCATTCCTGTGACCCATTTTCAGTTGAAAGCAGGCTAAAGCCCACTATCGGCTGACATCACAGAGCTGGTCCAGGCTCTGAAAAGATCCCAACCATACGCTCAGGATCCATGAAGATGCCTGGACTAGCAGCTGGCTCAACCTCTTAGCCATCCACTTAGAACTTGAACCAGCCCCTCCTATGCTCTAGTGAGCCAGTGCAATCGCTCAGTAGTCGGTGCAGAGCTGGCGGGGGACAGATGTAGCATTGGATCGATGCTGTATCCACCTAGTTGAGTATACATTTTTTTTTTGTTTTTTTAAATATAAAGATTATGTCCCAATCTACCAATTATGACCTAATCTGCCTGAAAATCTGGTGCAGCTGAACAGATGGAATCCTAAACTGAAGCTTCTTTAAATTGAAAATATCAGCAGGCTGTGGGCGAATAAGTGTTATTGTTCTGACTACAGTAAAGAAAGGTTAGACGACCGACCCAGTTGTGTTGCCTGACAGGGGTGTCTGAATCTTCAATTTATTTTGTTCAACTGTGTGTTTTATGGTTTGCTTTATAAAGTTCTGCTCTAGCTGGAGATTGCATCACCCTCTATCCTACAATTTTTACTTATGAGCCCCTTTCAGACTTCAAAAAGATGGATTATGAGCTAGGCAGGAAAACAAATGATTGCTCTGACACTCGAGAACTGGCATCAATGATCCTGTTTTGCATGCCTTCTTAATCTCTGCCCATCATAATCTTCCCCAATCACCATTACAATGCTGAAGTCTCTCTCTTTTGTATTTTAATACACCGCTGCTGAAACCGAAGAAAACTGGCACGACTCCTGCACAGTCCGCAGTATCTGGAGCATTAGGGTCCATGTGTTTACACCAACTTAAAAAGCAGTTGAAGGATGGCTGTAAAATTAGTTGTGAAGTAACAAGCAATCTAAAAATAAGCCAGTAACAAGGGCACACCGCTCGCTCTCCTGAGAGCAGGAATTCCGGTGATGCAATAAATCTTCTGTGTTCACTGCTACATGAACGCAGGGTTCTGCAAATTCCCCTCAACCCTCACTCGCCACTCTGACCTCAAATCAGTGAAGAAAGGGAAAAGGTTTTGCTTAGGAACTTTCCTTGCACATGTTTAAGGCAAGCCACAGCGCCACCTCCTGGCAAAAATACATTACACAACCCTAGCCAATTTGAAAACTGGTATGGATCAGCCTCTGAGCCAGGGTGCCCAGGCACCTTGGGGTGCCTTGAGGTTTCTTCAGGGGTGCCTTGGCAAAATGTCTAAAAACTGCCCAAAACTTGTATAAAAGCCAGTGGGTGGAACAAGCCTGCCTTTTAGTTACACAAAGCCACAGGTTTTCATCGTGCACCATTAGGACCTTCCAGTTGCCGGCGTTCTGACAACTAATGGCATCATTAGCTGATAAGGCGGATGTTGGCTACCTGCACAGCATCCTAGTTTGACCCTCCCCTGCCCCTCTCCATCAGTGCTGGGGTCACATTAGCTCAGGGATAGAGAAAAACTGAGGGAGAAGAGAAACATTGGCATACTAGTCAGTACCAGTGAGCAAATGTGTATTTGCTTTGGAAGAATAAATCATTTCTAATGTTGGGTGTTCTACGTGTGGATGTTGCTGCGTTATATAAAGTTATTAGAATAATTTCACATTTTAGAATGGGGTGCCTCAAGACTGTCTATTATTTTAAAGGGTGCTTCAGGACTGTCCATAATTTTAAAGGGTGCCTTGACTGAAAAAAGGTTGAGAAACACTGGTATGGATAATGTGTTAGATGTCAACTGATGAACAACAAGAACGCACTTGAGTTATATTGAAAGATGTGAACATAGCGATTACAGTTCGTATAGGTCAGGGCTGCAGAGTAAGGCTACATTCACACAGGCAATAAGGCCAGTCCATTGTAGTGGCAGGAATCTTCTGTTTGCAGCTGCAGATGAGAACAGCTAGGTGCAGCAGCCAGCCCTATTTACTAACAGGTCGCTGGCTGCTGCAGCTGTTTGCAGCTCTCTGCGGTGGACACCGCAGGACGCACTTTGTCTACCTGGCTTATCAGGAGCAGATATGTGCATTTCCTGATCATGTAATCAAACATTGCAAGTTAGACGTTAAAAGCATATGAACTTCTTACCAGGATCACTCTTTAATCCAGTGAGATTAAACATATAAATGTTATCATCGGTACAGCCAGCAAATAGGTTAGATCCTGTGGAATCCAGAACCAGACTAGAATACCCTGAAAAACAGAAACCATTATAAGTGAAACTAGCAACATACATAAAAAATTACTTCATGTGCAATTATGCTTACACCACTAAACACTTGTAGGCTTCACCTCCGCAAAACCTCCAAGATACACCCGTTCCTAACCTGAAACCACTAAGCAACTTATTCACTCCCTGGTTATATCTCGCCTTGACTATTGTAACGCCCTCCAAGATTGTAAGCTCCAAGGATCAGGGCCCTCCTATCCCTCTTGTATTGAACTGTATTGTTGCTGTATTGTCTCCCGTTATATTGTAAAACGCTGAGCAAACTGTTGGCGCTATATAAATCCTGTATAATAAATAACACAAAATATTAGCAAGCACTTACTGTTCTCTAAGAAAAGAGCACTGTAAGAAGCACATAGGAAGTTGCTTTGCAGGACATTTTGGTGTGTCTGCATAGTCATATCTGAGGTCACCTTTTCCACATTATGTGTGAGAGCTTTATATGTGAAGTGTTGTTTAGAGTTTACAGTGAGCACTGTGATGATATTTCTCTTCTCAGAGTCATACTAGATAATAGGATGAGTCTGCGAGTTTAACCCTTCTATGCCTGTAATTCTGCTTCTGTTTACTCTGGCGATGCCTCTATTAGCACTGCACCGTATTTGGGAATTCATTAGAAACTAGCAACATTTTTTCCTTTTCTACCATAATAATCAAAAAACAAAAAAAAACAAACTCAGAACTAAAAGAAAACAAAAAAAAACAAAACAAAAAAAAAAAAAAGTATACTAGATTTACAGCAAAGTAGCTACCATTTCTAGATTAACTTTAACAATGTTCATCCGCCTCACAGCTGTAGTCCAGGAATAGATTATTTTGCATAAAATTACATTGGTACAGCTTGTATTAAAGTATGCACATGCCATAGTGGAAGACAAGGAAAATCCGGACTGCTAAACTCCACCAATCCACTTTATTCAGTATAAACATGACATTAACAGGCGGTGATAGTTGCATTACCAACAGCCTATACAGAAGACCCTCTCCGGTGGTAGTATTCTTGTGGCAAACTGACCATGCCCCAAGCCCGTTAGAGAGATCCCTGTGGGCCAATTCCTGTGATTACACAGGATATGTAAAAATATGCCCATATGGCGGACTGCTTTATATAAAGAGGGTATCCTATAGCTAACCATTGGGTGTGCCATTAATAGCACCAGAAAACCCAAAAGGCAATTTAGGAAAGAAGGTATGGACTAGACCAGAGAGAGGACCACCTGTGCTTTCTACAGCATTTAGCCTGGAGTTTAGGAAAAAGTATATTATTGAACGTCATGCCCTCGTGTTGCAGATGGATAGCATGTATGCCCATAGACTTTCAGGAGATGCTAGAGTAGTTTCCCGACATGTGCCTCAAGAGATTTTAAATCTTTCCAAGGAACACAAGGAAACATGGCTTAGTTTTAAAGGAAATTAAAGGTGTGGCATGTTGTCCCATCTGCAGAGCAGCAGGGGGGGGGGGGGGGGGGGGTAGAGATTTTATTACCACAGTCAGTGGGGAAAGTTAAAGAACTAGAAATTTCATCAATTGTATTACCAAATATAGCTGATCACTTGCAAAATCTGTTGGATACAATATGTAGGCAGGACTACTGGGAGGCTGCGAGGTAGTCTCCATGACCATATGTAGGATATCCAGAAAAAGCATTCCACTAATGGTGCAAATCGCTTCAATCTCGCAAATCGATCACGCTGCCTTACATATACAGGGGATTGTATAGTTAGGAAGCCTCGCAGAAGAAGAGAATGCTGTGCAGGCGAGAAGTATTTCTGATCTTTTATTTGCACACATGGATCCCGAATGGGGTAAATTATAAGTGGGATCTCACTCATTTTTATGAACAACTTGTCTGCATGACACTTGCAATCTCTCTGCACCTCTGCTTTGTCTTCCTACCTTGTGAGGCATTTATATCATTCATATTTCTGATTATATTTTTTTTTCCTTCATATTTTGGATAATGTTCATAATCATCCTGCCACAGGTATAGCCCTCCTTTTTTGCTTTTCGTCTTTTGTCTCCTGTCTTTTGCAGTTTTTCCAATACTTACCATACACAATTACATGCGGTTGTTTGTAGAACAGTTTTAGTCTCTTAAGTAATCTTCCAGATTTAAGCAGTTGATCGAGTATAATACAAAACTGTCCTGGCGTAGGTTGTGGTTTTTAACTATAGGTGTGGGTTGTTGCTTTTTAGCTCACCATTTGCGGTTTGTTTTGACCCTTGCTGTGTATTGATCAACATGCTTCTGGTTGATAAATTTTTGCCGAACTCTATGCGGGTTGGATTACACTCACAGCGTGAGACATCTTGTACTGAGTTTTGGAGCCAGCTTTTACTTTAAACCTGGCTCAATGCAGTAGGAGGTTGACCCTTTGCTTGTGATTAAAAGACAGCTGTTATCAAACTTTAAAAAATGGTGTTTGTCACCTGTGTCCACTGGGTAATGATTAAGCACCAACTTCTGCACAAAACAGGTCGACCTGCTTGTCCCATCTGTCATTTGGTTTTACATGTTTTTACCGAAAAAAGTGGATTGTTGGAGTGCAGCTATCCGTATTTTCCTGGACTTCCACTGTGCAGCACGCAAGCTGGGCTGGCACTTGACTGGGAGTTGTGAAGGGATCAATAGAGACTACTCACCTGGAGCAGCAATATACAGTGTCAATACACATGCCATACCTGGCTGACCCTGTGGATCAGTATGGCATGTGGATACTTACATTGGTTCAAGTGGGACCAATGTAATTATAAAAACAAAAAAAACCTGAAAATTCAGTTTTATCTACAAAAGTCCCATTAGCACAAATTAGTCCGTGCCCCTCTTCTATCATATTATGCAGAGTCACTACACAGGATAGGGCATAATCCACCGATATAGGAGCAGACGTTCTCTCTTTCCCAGGTTCAGACATACTCCGTTGTGACATGCTGAGGAGGTGATGTAGTCACATACAGCACTTAACACTTCACTATACTAGATGCTAATTAAGCCTTTTGCAAAAGTAAAAAAGAAAATGCACGCAACACATACCAAGTTTACGCGTACTACTCCCAGGATATGAAAAGGCTTTTGCTGGTATTGGATCCTGTCGGTAAGCAGTGTAGTTCTTTCTCAAATCCCACATTTTGATAATGCTACAAAAAAGGAAAAAAAAAAAAATCCTTACAACTACTTTAAGACTTGAATAATAGTACAACCGACAAACTTCATAAGCAATACAGAATGCTGCTCAATGCTAAATTTGCCTAAATCAAATAATCTGGGGAAGGGGCTGATCTTGTGTCTTCCCTGCTGCTCAGCAGCCTATCCAGGGTAGAACAAAGACCTTGTTATAAGGATCCCAGACACCAGAGAACTCCCGATCAGAATCAGGGCCTTCCCCAACCTAATCAAGTCTGGGCAATAAAGCATCAACTGAAATTTTTGCTCAGAAAGGTCTCATCTATTTATTGAAAACTACAGACCACACGTCAAGTATAATTGCTTACATTATTGTCAAATTATGTGAGCAGACAAATGTAAAATCTTACCAGCGTGATCACTCTACTACTTCTGGATGATCTGTGCAGTTTCCTGCATGAACTTTATAGTGTCCTAGGTCAGCTCCCTGAACAAAGGTAGGAATGCTGCTCACCTGTCTAGCTGGCTGAAAAAAATTACATTTTTTTTTCTTTAAAGAGTCGTTGTAAAGGCTGAAGGTTTTTTACCATAATGCATTCTTATTGTCATCTCTCTCTCTCCCCCCCCCCCAAAAAAATTCTTAACTGGGCCCAATCTCTCCCTCCTCATTGGACACCGTGAGAGCAGCAGACGCCACTGGCTCCTTCTGCTGTCAATCAAATCCAGTGACTAGGGAGCAGGGGCACGGCTGAGTGAAACTGCATGTGTCAATGGACACAACTCAGGATCAAGCTTCCTATGGTGGCACACAGAGAAGAGGAGTCCCGCATGGCAGAGGGGGACCCCAGAAGAGGAGGATTGGGACTGCTCTGCGCAAAACTATGACACAAAGAAAGTATGACTTTTTTTTTTTTTTTTTAAACAAACAACTTTACAATCACTAAGTATTTAACAGCTTGTTTGGAGCATTGCATTCCAAGTCTGAGTTGTAAAATACGTTTTAGTTTGGTCTTACCCATCAACAGCTCCTGCTGATATGATCGTATGTTCATCCTGAAAGAGGACCACTGTTACACTCTGCTGGGAATCCTGCAAGAAAATAATTTAGCAATTTGTCATACGGTGAATAACGCTAATGAAGCAAATAAATTAAAAAGGCAGTGCTTGCATAGGATGTCAGCTTGACAGAAGCAACAGCAGTATATAGTATAGTTCTTTGTATGACCATGTTCTATTGCTAAAGTATGTCTGTATGCAATTCGGTCATCCTTTAAACATCAAAAATATGTCTACTCTGTACCCACTGAGCATGTGTGTAGTTGAGAAAAACACAACTTTGCTATTAAAAGATAAAAATTTAGGATGTTCACACTTGCTCCAGATGAGTTATGGAGTACAGCCAAGGAACCAGCATTTTTAAAAAGTGGTTAGCACTGTGGAGCTTAATTTTTCTCTGGACAAGTTTACTTTTAACTTAACCCATACTTTGCCCAGCTAAAGCAAAACAAGTAATTTCATCCATCCCTCCTCAGCAGCATTGTTCCTTTACTTCACCACTGCTTTGGTCACTGCTTTGCAAAGATCAGGAGAAGCAACCTTGTGTAAGCCACAAGTCACAGCTTAAAAAAGACAGGAGGAACCCCACATACTTACATATATGTGGAGGCAGCTTCAATCCAATGCTGCAACTGTCCCCGCCGGCTCTACACTGTGAACCGAGTGATCAAAGATGGATGATCACTCGGTTCTTGGGTCCACTCTGAGAAAAGACCAGCAACCATCAGACACTGCTCTGTACTCTGCCCTCCAGTACTCAGTGGAGTGCTGGACTGTGGAGGGTGTGGGAACGGCAGGCTATTACCTTCAGCGGTTTGCCGAGAGGCTGGGTCAGCTGCCGGTCAGGAGTCTTGACGGACCCCGACATAATGGTCAGCATCCCTACAGAGCCTGGACCTGCTCGGTGAAATCAGCTGACAGCAGGCTTTAGCTTGCTGTCAGCTGAATCCGGGTCACAAAAGTGCACTTCTGTGACCCACAGAAGGCCAAAAGAGCTTTGGTCATAACCAATTTAAACAGGGGTTACAGACTTTATCCATGTCACAGCGCTGTGGCATGCATATCCATACCCTGAACACTTCATATTTTTTCTTTGCTCCCAAATGTAGAAGAGTGGGGAGATTTTGACTTAAGTGAATCTGTGCCCACGTAGGCTGTTCGTTTTAGGCAACCATTAGCTTGGTAGTCCCTAACCATTTCCTTTAACAAGTTGTGACATCACAATGTAAAGTTATGTTTTTATTTTTATATTTTCAATCATACCATGATGGTCTAGAAATTTTAGAACTACAAGCACCAATTCAGATCACGTCAGTTTTTCAAGTATGAGCTTATATTTCTTTACAAACTTTACTATGTTATACATGTTCTGCCGGGTTTCCAGAAGTATTTAGTCAGTGCTGCAAATTACCACAGATGGCGCAAGTCCTCTGAAAGCAGGTTTCTTCTTTTTCATCTTCAGTGGGGTTTGTTTATCTGGTGCATTGTGAGCCCCTGTGATCTGGTTCACTTGCCTATAGAAACCATCTGAAAGAAAGTGTGTAAAATTAAGTTGATGCTCTGAATATCTTGCCCATGCATTCCACAGCTCTAAAAAAAAAAAAAAAAAATTTATTTAACTAATGGGAAGATTTCTAGTCACTTCCTGTGAGTGACCACACAGGTAGTGAAGCTGGGACAGGAGAGAACACAAGAAAATAGAAATTTACCCCTTCCCATCTATTAAAAGTTTAGTGCCGACATGTTTCTATTGGAAAACATCTGATTACATAACATAGTATGCAATCAGTTTTGGGGAAACTGCATAGTTTGGGGAAAAAAAAAAAAAAAAAAAAAAAAAAAAAACACAAAACAACACACCTGAAAAGAGGTTCACCTAATACAAAGTGCTTTGTGATAGGGCACACTTCTGTAACCCACCCTCCTTCGTCCCAGCATGCCTCCAATTAACGTGCTCTCAGCACACCTTCTTCCAATGTCCCCTTTGCTCTCAACACACCTCTACTTACAATCCCCCCCACAGAACAGCTCTGCCTCCAATGCCACCCCCAAAGCAGGCCTCTGCCTCCAATGCCCACACCAAGCACACCCCTGCAGTCCAATTCCTCCTGCCAAAATGTTTCTGTAGTTACCCTACTCTTAAATCTTCCTTCTGATTCTCTGATGAGGGGGGCAGAGGAGGAGGTTTGATCCCAACCACAATGTCATGTGGCTGAGTTAGACAGCTTAGCCTTTGCCAGTGCCTGCCCAGGAATGATGCCTTGCCCACTCCCCAGCTGTACAGTGTACACTAATGGAGAGGGGAGGTCCAGGGAACACAGTATGCCGACTGTCTGATGTGTGCATGGAGCTGTGCAGCTCACGCTGTATTCCCTGGACAAATCACGGTACACAGCTGAGGGATATTTAAGTAAAAAAAAACAGCACTTTCCCAGCTAGTCCAGGACAGTTGGCAAACATGAACCTATTGATGATCTGTCTCAACGCACTAAAATGATATCCAATTGTCTTACTAGAACATCCAACTTCTGCACACTAATAAAGCAAAGGTTTGAAAAAGCACAATTACCTTTCTTGCTGCATCGAGTATCCCAGACCATAACATTTCCATCCCGACCTCCAGTGCTGAACACAGCTGTGTAGAACAAATTTTATCAAAACAATTTTTCAAATGAAAACCAAAAATAAAATACATATTTCTTCTATATTGAAGAAATCCTACCCTGAGAAAAACTATGGAGGCTGCCATTGATAAAGGAAAAAAAAAAAAAAAAAAAAGGTCTAGTCCTCTGCAGCACTTGAACTCCACAACAGCTCACCAGACCCAAGTAAAAACACAAATTACCGTATTTTTCGCTCCATAAGACGCACCTAGGTTTTAGAGGCGAAAAACAGGAAAAAAAAAAATTCTGAACCAATGGACAGCAGACACCGTACAGGAGATGACCAGACACCGTACAGGAGATGACCAGACACCGTACAGGAGATGACCAGACACCGTACAGGAGATGACCAGACACCGTACAGGAGATGACCAGACACCGTACAGGAGATGACCAGACACTGCGGACACAGTACAGGAGATGACCAGACACTGCGGACACAGTACAGGAGATGACCAGACACTGCGGACACAGTACAGATGACCAGACACTGCGGACACAGTACAGATGACCAGACACTGCGGACACAGTACAGATGACCAGAGACTGCGATGACCATTCACAAAGCACAGCACATGCGCAGTGGGCACCCGGCTGTCACAGAAGCCAGCGCGGGAAGACTGTGCAGCGCTTGAGCGAGGAACAGGTAAGGCCCTGCAGGAGACAACAGCTGAGCGGCCAGCCAGGTATTCTGACATGGTGGCGGCAGAAATACCAGACCGGCCGCTTTATATTCGCTCCATAAGACGCACTGACATTTTCCCCCTTTTTTTGGGGGGAAAAAAAGTGCGTCTTATGGAGCGAAAAATACGGTAATTACTTACTTTCCAATTCTCTGTATGCAGAGGGTAGGATAGGCCAGGCTACCCTGAGATTTACTAATATAATAACTAAATCTGCAAGCATTTCTGATGGTCAAATGATTATCACCCTTCGGTTTATCACTAAAAAACATGCAGAAGAGAGCCGAAAAGTGTAGAACCTGATACCAAAGTAATTTTACAGTTCCTGGACATTGAATTGCTTATCGGGACATAAATTACCTACCAGTGGACAAAAAAGGGACAAGGATGTCAGTAGGATAATTCATATACTGTGTACATAGTGGATAAAATACCTTTTTTCAAACTTGGAGAAAGAAACAGACTTCAAGCTGCACTGGTGGCCTCTACATTCACCAATCAGCTCTCCGACCTTAACGTCGAACAGCTTAGCAGTCTGGTCCCCTGAAGCTGTAACCTTTACAAAACAGATTCACAATTAGCCAATGCAGCCTTATCAATGTGAAGCAATTTATACAGCATGTTCATGTTTTACATCCTGTATGGGTTTAATAGGACATAGTATCCTATAAGATTACACCATAGAAGATCCCAAATTAACACCTGTATGAAACTGACTCAAAACAGTATCCAAAGGCATTTTTTGACAGTGGCGAGGTATAGTCAAGACCTGTCAGGTGTTTTTTTTGCCATGTTCTCAGAGAAAATCACCTTTAGCTCTCCTGTGACTACACTATGTTGTCACCAGAATAGGGAAATACTTTGGATTAAAAGGGGTCATTAGTCTTATGAGAACTAGCAGAGAGTGATCACTCATGCCAAAATTAAAGTGCAACTAAAATGCAAAACTGTTTTATATCCATTTTGGATAGAGTAAGGGAGGGTTATAGCCCGTCAGTTTTTTGTCACTTGCTTTCCATTGGGGAGATTTCCCTTCGCTTCCTGTCCCATAGCTAAAATAAAAACAGGACAAAGAAGTTGAATCTCCTTAATGGGTGCACCAACAGCAATAAAATCTAATCTGTGTTCTAAACCCGCTCTACTCTAGCCAAATTTAAAAAGTGTTACCTTTAGTTATACTTTAAAGTGGTTGTAAAGGCTGAAGGTTTTTTACCTTCATGCATACTATGCACGCAGATAAAAAAACAAAAAAAAAAAAAAAACCACCTTGTGTGCAGCATCCCCCCCCCAGAATACTTGAGTCTCATCGCAATCCAGTGATGCGAATGACAGCCTCGGCTGTCCTACCTCCTCATTGGCTGAGACCACAAGTAGGAGCCATTGGCTCCCACTGCTGTCAGTCAATGAGGAGAAAAAGGGGGCAGGGCCAAGCCACAGCTCCATGTGGGTGCTTGCTGTGGGGACACCCACAGACAGAAGGAGCCAGGAGAGCCTGCGGGGGACCTGAGAAGAGGATCCAGGCTGCTCTGTGCAAAACCCTGCACACAGCAGGTAAGTATGACAGTCGTTCTTTAACAAATAAAATATATGAACCTTTAGAATTGCTTTAAGAATTCTGACACATTTGAATTTACACGCTCTCTTCTAGGACAGATTCTGCATATTAAAGTGCACCTTCAACCAGATTATGCATGTTATTATTGCACGCCTTTATACAGTGCTGTCAGTTTGCACATCTCTTTACGGACTGTACATTCACACGAGTCCCTGCTCTCAAAGGGATAACAATTTAAGGTAACTATCTCACATGGATACACACATGCACTAGGACCAATTTAGGCAGGAATCTACCCGCAAACTCCATGCATAAACTGCCTTGGTCAGGATTCTCATAAAGGACCCTAGTGCTGCCATTCAGCCAACCACTGAGCCACTGTGCTTTAAAGCACAACTTCTGGCAGAATTATTTATATGGATGGAACAGAAAAACTTTTGCCAAGCTCTTGGTTCCAAGTCCCCACTCACTTCCTATTCCAGTGAAATCACACCCACTGGTGTGGAGCCTTAAAACAATTGTCTAATTATAAATCAGATTTACCAGTGCAGTGTCTGCTGCATCAGTGCTTCCCACTACCCTGAAGCCTTGCTCAGAAAGTAGCCATATTGCGCACAATCATTTAATAAATCTTAATAAAAGAAAAAAAAAAAAAAAAGAAGAAAAAAAAAAAAAAAAAAAAAACACATGCAGGAGGTCGTCAGTCCTCTCCTTTACATTGATATAGGTTAGCAACGGCAGTGAGTTGCATATAAGTCATGAATGCTTATTCCAGGTCAGTAGCTGACAGTATTGAGATCAGAGTCAGCCAAACTAATTTGTAGAATTGCGATGGAAGCACCTGTATCTTTATCATGAGATGTTTACTTTATACAGGGCCTGAAAAAGAAGTTTAGATGAATTACACAAGCAATTACAATCTTTGCTACCCTAAGAGTCCAATGTGTAGAGCTACTACCTAAATGCAACTTGCAAAGTAATTATTAGTCTAATGGCGCTTACAACACAGGTTTATTGGAGCCAAGTTAAAGAAAGTTGCGTGCTGGTCTCCTGGGCTAGGAGGAGGATCATTGATTACTTACCAATTTGTGCTCTCCTGGCACCCAGGCAAGGTCAAAGACTGCATTAGTATGTGCTTGCCAATCTATGAAAACAAAACAAACAAAAAAAAAAATACATATCAGAAAGTGTACAGCTATAGTAATTACGCTTTGGGAAAAAAAAAAAAAAAAAAAAAAAGAGAAGATGCAAGCAGCAGTACATATACCAAAAAAAAAAAAAAAAAAAAAAAAATATTGTACCTTCATACAGTTGCCTAAAATTAGGTCCCTGCTCTCAAGTGCTGCCCACTAGGTGAAATGCCTACACTGAGCCCCAACCCAGCAATTTTCACGGTTTGTCTCATCTTGGAGCCGCACAGACTTTATGCAGAAAAATGGACCACCATACCAATGGCAGCCTAAAGTAATTGCTCTATTGGTGAGGTTTGACTTCACTTCCAAGAAAGAACTCCCCTCACGTGACAAGACGATATTCCATCTGATGAATCTGTAAAATTTGGGATTTCCCATCACTTTCTTTACCTGAGACAATGGTCTCCAATCACTTTGAGGGTAAATAACCTCAGCTGGTACACAAAGCAATGAAATTCTAGCATTTTTAACAAAGTTGGTAGTGGTTGCTGGGCTTTAAAAAAAAAAAAAAAATAAATAAACAAAAAACCCCTAACATTGCTTCCATGCTTGTTGGCACTTGTGTAAGCAAACATTCTTGTACCTGCAAGGAGAAAGAGGGGAGTGCTGACTCATTCATCTGCATAATTACCAGAAAGCTCCCACCTTACCATACACCTTACCATTTCCTGCCTGAAAAGGAAATTATGAAATACCTAAACATTTCATATTTACCTGGCAAAAAAAACCCAGAAGAAACAACAACCCACAGGGACAGTATTTGACTGAACACAACAAAAAGGTAATGAATGCTGTATATCTCTCTCTATCTTTCTACAACACAGGTTAAAAAACAAAAACTGCTAAAACAAAGACTGCAGATGGAGAAGCTCACCTTTCAGAATTTTTCTATCGGTGTTCTGACATTCTGTATCATACAACTTGACTATGCCTTCCTCATTGGCCACTGCAAGCACATGGGGTAAATCCATCGCTGAAAGACAAACCAGCACATCATTTGAATTGGTAGTCAAGAGGGTGCAGAGATTGCCCTGGTCCCAGGGGTAACAGGAGGTCTGGGTTTTGGCTCATTACAATGCCCTATTGGATATACTACTCTGAACAATTTCTAGGCATATGTTCTGTTAGAAAACACTTCTAAACTAAAGTGTTACTAAACCCACAACAGTAAAATCAATCTGTATATCCAGTAAAGCATGCTTATTATACTTACTGTGGAACCTAAAGGGTTAATCCTCTGCATTGTGTAAAAATGCTGTTGGTTTCTGACTTCTCTAATCCTCCCCAGTGCCCTACTCTTAACGGATAGGACATATGGTGTGGAGACAGAGCATGCTCAGTTTGGTGTGGATGTTTTTTTTCTCTTGGGAGAGTGCATGTGATCAGCACATGGCCAGACAGAGGTCAGGGGTTCTGCATTCTCCTAGAGCAGAAAGAAAACTCCTCCTACAAGCATGACACTGCTCTAATTGCTGATGAGAATAGGTATTTAGCAGTTTATTTTTACTAAAATAACTGAATTTCCATGTTGTGTGTTCTGTGGGAGACCAGATAAAGTAAATGCAGGGTCCTGGGTATAGTAACACTTTAATAATGCTTTATGTGCCAATCCTCAAACCTCTCTCTCCTCATTGGCCAATGGCTCCTGCTTGCTGTCTCAGCCAATGAGGAGGCAGAGACCTGGGACAGCTGGGGTGGTCATGCACATCGCTTGAGCTTGATGGGGCTTAGTAAAGTATTGAGAGGGGCTGGGGGAGCTGCTGTACACAGTTTTTTTTTACCTTCATTCATAGAATGTATGAAGGTAAAAAAACACCACGAGCCTATACAATCACTTTAAAGTCATCAGCTACACTTCCTGTTTTGGCTATTGGACAGGAAGCAAAGGAAAATCTTCCCAATGGGACACAGATAGAAAAAAAAAAAAAAAAAAAAAAAAAGACACAGAAAGGGGTTATTACCCTCCCTTACTCTATCTAAAATGGAAAAAAAAAAATGTTTCCTTCATTTCTACTTGAAATGTTCCCAGTGGAAAATTGTTTGAAACAAAGGGTAATGTCAGAAGGTGAGGTGGTGTCAAGCAGCAGTACACACCAGGGAACAAAATGTTACATTAAGCTGAAACAACACTGTCCACGGGTACATGTTCGGGCTTGGCAAAGGACATGGGATTGCCTTAGGAACCCTTTTGGTGGGGCATTTACATATAGGCCTGCCATGTTACATATGGCAGAAACCCGTCTTGGAAACTTGTACAAATAACATCTTCAAAAACCAGACTGCTATGCCTAAAGAATTCTTACCAGCACTGGGTACTTCGGTGAAGACGCTGCAAATAAACCTCACATGGTGAACTGAAACACCAGCCCTGTACTGATGACACCCTTTAGGATCTTGTTGACAAAAAAAAGCACCATGTGAGAGTCCATGGGTAGGTAAATCACTAACAGGAATTCCAAATAAAACATTAGATTACCCAGTGGTCCTTTCTCAATTAGGAGATTATTATAGAATTGGCATGAACTGTCCAGGCAGAATAGCCATGAAGTTTACCCATTTGTTTGCTCTAGTTCAGATACAAAAAACCATTACAGCTAGAGGGTGGGGTAGAACTAGGGTTCCCACCTCATCCCTTTAAAACCAAAGCACATTACACAAGTTCTGTGGCATATTAAAGCTGAGGTCCAGGCAAAATTAAAAAAATATAAAAAAAAGTCAGCAGCTACAAAAACTGTAGTTGCCGACTTTAAAAAAAAAAACAAAAAAAAAAAAAAAAAAAAAAAAAAACCACCACACTCACCTGTGCCTCGATCCCGCGGTGTCCTCACACCGGCCAGTTTCAGCAGCATCCATCCTGTCTCTCCCCCCCCCCCCCCCCCCCCCCCAGCATCTTCAGTGTGGGCATCCGGCTGGGACAGCTTGCGGCTTCACAGCCGGGTGCCCACTGCACATGCACGAGTAGCGCTGCTCTTTGTGAATGGTCCAGTAGTCTGCTGGGACCTGTCTCGTGTCCCAGAAAACTACGGGGAGGGAGAACAACTACTGCTTCCTATCGCCTAGGCGATCGCAGCGGAAGCGAGTACCCGCTCCCCTCTCCTGCTTCCCAAAGGTGACAATCCTCGACAGCATGCGGGGCAAAAAGCCTTAAAGCAGAACTTCCCCCTTATCTGCATTAAATTAGCCTCAGAGCCTGTGCAATATGTGTTTGGTTTTAAAGGGGTGATGTGGCAAGCCTAGGTAGAACACACACTTTAAAAACTCCCATTGGATCAGAACAGGCACCACAAATGGTTCCAGGCGTTCTGATTGCACTGTCTGCTTCCGATTTCCTCACCTGAAAATTGTATAGGGTCTACATGGGGCTCATGTATGTACGATCAACAACTGTCTGCATGGTAGCACATGAAGGCCATAGTATGAAGGTTTTGAGGGTCACTGTACAACTATTCCCACAGGGCAGATAGTTACACTATTACATTGGTGTGAAGACAACATGGACTGACAGTGAACATGTAACAGTCAATGGGAATGGAGAAGGAAACAGCTCTAATGTAAGAGGTACTTGAGGCTGGTCTCACCTGCACTGAACGAGCAGCCAAACGGTGGTACAGATGTCCCAAACCCACCATAAGAAATATGTTCATCCTGTCTCTCACACTGAAAGAATGGTAGCAGACTCTGCAGATGATACTTCTGTGATGCTACGAAAAAAAAAAAAAAAAAAAAAAAAAAAAAAAAATGAAGACAAAAAGCAGCAACAACCAAATAAATAGAATCCAACACTTACGTCAGGCCCGATTTATAATAAATTCTGGAAAAAAGACTATACTACCAGTCGCAACCAGATCCCAGTTATTTTTCTTGCAAGGAATAGAAGATGAAAAGAAAGCCAAGCAGATCTACTTAAGAGGGAGTAGCTAGATGACCTAGTCAAATGTTTGAGAAACACTTCTTCCATTATAGCCAGGTGACAACATGCATGTACAACGTATTAAGAGTTGCATTATACTTTAACCACTTGCCTACTGGGCACTTATACCACCTTCGTACCCAGGTCAATTTTTTTCAGCACTGTTAAACTTTGAATGACAATTGTGCAGTCATGCAACACTGTACTCATTAAATATTTATCATTTTTTTCATGCAAATAGAGCTTTCTTTTGGTGGTATGTACTCGCTGGTGGGCGTTTTATTTTTTGTGCTATAAACAAAAAAAAAAAAAAAAGCAAAAAATAAAAAAAGTTTTTGTTTCTATTAAATTTTGCAAACAGGTAATTTTTCTCCTACACTGATGTGCGTTGATGAGGCTGCACTCATAGGCAGCACTGATGAGGTGACATGGATAGGCAGCACTGATGAGGTAGCACTGGTGGACATTGACGAGGCACTGATAGGCAGCGCTGACTGACGGCAACGACTGACAGAACTGACGAATGGCACTGCTGGGAGCCACTGATCATCAGTACCCTGATGATCAGTGCCAATCTCCTCTGTGACAGCTGCCAGCTATCAGCAGTACTTTCCTCACACTGTGCCAACGTGAAAAAAGTGTTGCCGACAACTAGCAACTGTATTTACTTCATGATCTGCTGTGTCATTGGACACAGCTGATCTCGTGGTAAAAGGCCGCTGTGATTGGCCTTTTACCTCATCACGTGATCAGCTGTGTCCATAGGACGCAGCGATCACAGAGATCGGCGAGTGGACACCCCTGGGGACGCGTTCTGGGAGGACATCATATGATGCCCTCCCACAAGTGGGTAACCGCGTTCTGTCATTCGGCTATAGCACGGTTACCAAGTGGTTAACAGGATTTGCATTTAAAAAAAAACCACATCACCTTTTACAACACAACAATGTGAATGGGCCCTAAGGCTTCTTGCACATGGCTGTACAAGATGTGGATCCTGCATGACAACATTCCTGGGACCTGCTGCCAACATGTACAGCAGCCCATTGAGATGCATTAGAAAAGGGGGCTGTAAGTGGTTTTGTATAAAAGGCCCTTTCACATCTATGAGCTTAAAAATGTGGTATGTGTTATTCAAGAACACATTGTGTTTTTAAGGTGTTTTCAATTAGATTTTAATTGTACAATCCAAACACAGTTCCCACATTAAAAACAGCTGTGTGTATAAGTGGGTGCTGCAACGACTGTCCGCTGGAACCAAAGAGAATCAGCAAGGGGAGAACGTCACCAGCACACCGAGGATCACCAATATGGGTCCAAAAGTTTTAATGAATGATCACATTATTACAGCAAGGCAATGTTTCGGAGTATCACAGGAACCCTTCATCAGGCATGTGACCTTGATCGTATTAAAGCTTCTGGACCCATATTGGTGATCCTCGGTGTGCTGTGACATTCTCCTTTTCAATTCCATTTTGGTGCATTTTCTGGATTCCTGACTCTCAGCATGCACCTGTGTGAAACCGACATGCCAATCAAAAATGCACCTGAAAACCAACGCTAGTGCATTTTTCATTCAATTCAATGGGGAGGCTTTTTTGTGCACTAAGGTCTAAAGAGTTGCAAGGAACGTCCCGATCCATGCACGTTTCCCATGCTGCATTCCAATCCTACTGTCCTTGCGATCTACTGCTGCAGTCGGTACAAAGTTAACTACAATGCAAATGCAGTTTGTTTGCCCGCACCGGATCACAGGGTACAAAATGACTATGTGATCCAGTTACGGTGCAGCTCACAAAAAAAAAAAAAGAAAAAAAAAAAAAAGGCGCATGCACGTCTTTGGGGAGATTTAAGCCCATTCAAAATGAACAAGCTCAAATTACAAAGCCCAGGATTGAACAGGAATGTGATGTGGATCCTGTGCAAACCACAAGCGGTTCTTAGTGTGCAGCATGCAGGACTTAAAAAAAAAAAAAACTCATCTCCCCTGCAGCACATTGGGGTGAAGAGTTCTATAGCATTTTAAGACATACACTTTTCATGCATTTTTGTTCAAAAACTGATCAGTGTGAAAGGGCCCTAAAGCACCCCTGTGTACACTGATCTGCGATCAAAGAACACATCAGAGCACATGTGGGTGCTTTATGTAGCTCACAGCACAGCTACCTCTTCTAGTGTTTGTTCACACTAAAACGCCATGCGGAAGACCCATGTTCCATGACAGTCTCCCACATCGCATTCCAATCGCACTGCCTGCCCATGTTCTCCAGATATCAGCGCACAGTTAACCTCTTGGAGCTGGCCACACGCGAATCTGCGGCCTTCGGGCCTTGACACTGAGCGGCCGCACATTTGCGTGCAATTAAGAAAACCATATGAGAGCGCACGCCCTGCGCGCTCCCAGCACACGTCTGCTACTCACGGAAAGGTCCCAATATCCTCTTTCGATCGGGACATTTCCCAATCATGTGATGGCGAATCATAGCGGTCTCATGACCCTAAAACCCCACCCCCCGGCTTCTGAACCCCTTAAAGAGCCAGGAGGCGCCAGCGCCAATGGGGTTAATGACCTCCCAAAAGGCAGTGTGTGTTTGCCTGCACTGGATGACATAGTACAAAAATACCATGCGATCTGGTTTCAGTGCGTTTCCAAAAGTAGTGCATGCAACACTTCTGGTGCAGTGCGGTATGCCCACCCCAAAACAAATGGGCTGGAATTGAACTGCAGAGAACTGTACAGGTATTGCAGTGTTCCTGTGTGATTCACATGCAGTTCCTAATGCGAATGGGCCCTCAGAGTATGAAAGGCCAACTTTAAATATTCCTGATATGTGGCTGCCCTACCATGCACTTGTATGAAAAAGTATCCTGCTCTCTTTGTATTGCATCCTTTGTGTGAAATCCCTGGTGTTTCTGCCAGTCTCCCTGCTTTACTATTACAAACTGACCACACTAGGCAGGAGAGTACAGCGTGGTCAGTTCTTTAGCTGTGCTGGGAACTCAGCCTGCTCTCCAATGATCAAACATCTGCTCACATGCACCCCCCACCCTACACAGCCATTCACTGGGAAGATCAGTGTATTGCAGTTTCTCTTCCCTGAGCTCCTTATGCAGCTGAGAACGTGGGAATGTGATCACTTCTAAAGGAAACAAACATGGTTTTCCCTTTTTTTTATACCTATACAAAAGTGTTTTGGCTTTCACTTCTATTTAAAACTAAATGTTTTACAGGGTGAGAATTTACATATACTTTAGTGCATCTCAATGGACGGCTGTTTGCGCTGGCAGCGGGTCCTGAGAATGTCATTACACAGGCTCTGCACAACGTACAGCAATGTACATGAAGCCTAGAAAAAGAAAACTAAGGCAGACACCACAATATAAAAAAGGCAGGTAAGCTGCAATGTATTTCATTCTTATGATTAGGATCTACTGCAATGATTAGTAACAGACATCTCCCATAATATGTAGATAATGATCAGATCACATACTGTATAGAAGACACAGATAATCTCATAAGACAGGACACAGCAGTGAACACTAATGGGGGGTCAGCCTTGTAATGGGGGGCTGACATATGAAGGTCATTCATTTCCTGCTGCACACAGCAACCAATCACCTTCCAACTATTATTTGTGCATAAAATATATATGTATGAAAGAAGAACTCTTCGCTGGCCATGGGACCGTCCTAGCTCAGCCCATCAGAGAGGCGAATTAAATGGAGGCAGTCCAGGCGTGCCAGGGTCATTCATAAGGAGCCTTACCACGATCCGTCCAGCGGGCCCGGAGCTGCAGGCTCTGGAAGAGTGACATTGTGTGGGAAGATAACTGAGAACAGCCGGTACCGTGCGAAGTCCCGGGAACAGCAGCGAGCACCCCTCCTCCTCTCTCACAATAATCTCCCGCTAAACAAGCCAAGCCTGCAGATAATTCTCCCGCGAAACGCCAGCCGCTCGCGGATTGGTCAGCACCTCTACCAACCACCGTTGGTTTACAACAATGCGAGCGCCAAAACCGTGCTAAACCAATCACAAGCTTGTTCTCAGGACGGTAGGGCGTGGTGGCACGTACGGAGCATGCGCTTTGACACTGTCATGGCGGCTTCCATGCCATTTGGTGGAATTGGTCTGGATTGATTTGTGTGGAGGGACGGAAGGACCATGGCGTCCGGCGGGGGGGTAGCAGCAGGTCGTTTCTGGCTGATGCCGGACATGGGGAGCAGGAGCTGGACGCCAACTCCGCCCTGATGGAGCTGGATAAAGGTAGAGGAGAGGCCGAGGCCTGGTCTATGGATGGAGGAGACTGACAGACAATCACTTCAGGAGGAGAGTAGGGAGGACCAACACAGACAGTCCTCACTTCATACAGAGAGAGCAACACAGAGAGTCCTCACTTCATAGAGAGAGCAACACAGACAGTCCTCACTTCATACAGAGAGAGCGACACGGACAGTCCTCGCCTCATAGAGAGAGAGCGACACGGACAGTCCTCGCTTCATAGAGAGAGCGACACGGACAGTCCTCGCCTCATAGAGAGAGCGACACGGACAGTCCTCGCCTCATAGAGAGAGAGCGACACGGACAGTCCTCGCCTCATAGAGAGAGAGCGACACGGACAGTCCTCGCCTCATAGAGAGAGAGCGACACGGACAGTCCTCGCCTCATAGAGAGAGAGCGACACGGACAGTCCTCGCCTCATAGACAGAGAGAGCGGCACGGACAGTCCTCGCCTCATAGAGAGAGAGCGGCACGGACAGTCCTCGCCTCATAGAGAGAGAGCGACACGGACAGTCCTCGCTTCATAGAGAGAGAGCGGCACGGACAGTCCTCGCTTCATAGAGAGAGCGACACGGACAGTCCTCGCTTCATAGAGAGAGCGACACGGACAGTCCTCGCTTCATAGAGAGAGAGCGGCACGGACAGTCCTCGCTTCATAGAGAGAGCGACACGGACAGTCCTCGCCTCATAGAGAGAGAGCGGCACGGACAGTCCTCGCCTCATAGAGAGAGAGCGGCACGGACAGTCCTCGCCTCATAGAGAGAGAGCGGCACGGACAGTCCTCGCCTCATAGAGAGAGAGCGGCACGGACAGTCCTCGCCTCATAGAGAGAGAGCGGCACGGACAGTCCTCGCCTCATAGAGAGAGAGCGGCACGGACAGTCCTCGCCTCATAGAGAGAGAGCGACACGGACAGTCCTCGCCTCATAGAGAGAGAGCGACACGGACAGTCCTCGCCTCTTAGAGAGAGAGCGACACGGACAGTCCTCGCCTCTTAGAGAGAGAGCGACACGGACAGTCCTCGCCTCTTAGAGAGAGAGCGACACGGACAGTCCTCGCCTCTTAGAGAGAGAGCGACACGGACAGTCCTCGCCTCTTAGAGAGAGAGCGACACGGACAGTCCTCGCCTCTTAGAGAGAGAGCGACACGGACAGTCCTCGCCTCTCTTAGAGAGAGAGCGACACGGACAGTCCTCGCCTCTTAGAGAGAGAGCGACACGGACAGTCCTCGCCTCTTAGAGAGAGAGCGACACGGACAGTCCTCGCCTCTTAGAGAGAGAGCGACACGGACAGTCCTCGCCTCTTAGAGAGAGAGCGACACGGACAGTCCTCGCCTCTTAGAGAGAGAGCGACACGGACAGTCCTCGCCTCTTAGAGAGAGAGCGACACGGACAGTCCTCGCCTCTTAGAGAGAGAGCGACACGGGACAGTCCTCGCCTCTTAGAGAGAGAGCGACACGGACAGTCCTCGCCTCTTAGAGAGAGAGAGCGACACGGACAGTCCTCGCCTCTTAGAGAGAGAGCGACACGGACAGTCCTCGCCTCGTAGAGAGCGACACGGACAGTCCTCGCCTCGTAGAGAGCGACACGGACAGTCCTCGCCTCTTAGAGAGAGAGCGACACGGACAGTCCTCGCCTCATAGAGAGAGAGCGACACGGACAGTCCTCGCCTCTTAGAGAGAGAGCGACACGGACAGTCCTCGCCTCTTAGAGAGAGAGCGACACGGACAGTCCTCGCCTCTTAGAGAGAGAGCGACACGGACAGTCCTCGCCTCTTAGAGAGAGAGCGACACGGACAGTCCTCGCCTCTTAGAGAGAGAGCGACACGGACAGTCCTCGCCTCTTAGAGAGAGAGCGACACGGACAGTCCTCGCCTCTTAGAGAGAGAGCGACACGGACAGTCCTCGCCTCTTAGAGAGAGAGCGACACGGACAGTCCTCGCCTCTTAGAGAGAGAGCGACACGGACAGTCCTCGCCTTTTAGAGAGAGAGCGACACGGACAGTCCTCGCCTCTTAGAGAGAGAGCGACACGGACAGTCCTCGCCTCTTAGAGAGAGAGCGACACGGACAGTCCTCGCCTCTTAGAGAGAGAGAGCGACACGGACAGTCCTCGCCTCTTAGAGAGAGAGAGAGCGACACGGACAGTCCTCGCCTCTTAGAGAGAGAGCGACACGGACAGTCCCTCGCCTCTTAGAGAGAGAGCGACACGGACAGTCCTCGCCTCTTAGAGAGAGAGCGACACGGACAGTCCTCGCCTCTTAGAGAGAGAGCGACACGGACAGTCCTCGCCTCTTAGAGAGAGAGCGACACGGACAGTCCTCGCCTCTTAGAGAGAGAGCGACACGGACAGTCCTCGCCTCTTAGAGAGAGAGCGACACGGACAGTCCTCGCCTCTTAGAGAGAGAGCGACACGGACAGTCCTCGCCTCTTAGAGAGAGAGCGACACGGACAGTCCTCGCCTCTTAGAGAGAGAGCGACACGGACAGTCCTCGCCTCTTAGAGAGAGAGCGACACGGACAGTCCTCGCCTCTTAGAGAGAGAGCGACACGGACAGTCCTCGCCTCTTAGAGAGAGAGCGACACGGACAGTCCTCGCCTCTTAGAGAGAGAGCGACACGGACAGTCCTCGCCTCTTAGAGAGAGAGCGACATGGACAGTCCTTATTCATAGTTGTCGGATGGACTGAAACATGCCATCCCAGATGTGTTCTATTGGATTTAGGTCAGGCGAGCGTGGGGGCATTCAATGGTATCAATTCCTTCATCCTCCAGGAACTGCCTGCACACTCTCACCACATGAGGCTCGGCATTGTCGTGTACCAGGAGGAACCCAGGACCCACTGCACCAGCGTAGGGTCTGACAATGGCTCCAAGGATTTCATCCTGATACCTAATGGCAGTCAGGGTGCCATTGTCTAGCCTGTAGAGGTCTGTGCGTCCCTCCATGGATATGCCTCCCCAGACCATCACTGACCCACCACCAAAACGGTCATGTTGAGCGATGTTACAGGCAGCATAACGTTCTCCGCGGCTTCTCCAGACCCTTTCATGTCTGTCACATGTGCTCAGGGTGAACCTGCTCTCATCTGTGAGAAGTACAGGGCGCCAGTGGCGAACCTGCCAATTCTGGTGTTCAATGGCAAATGCCAATCAAGCTTTGTGGTGCCGGGCAGTGAGCACAGGGCCCACTAGAGGACATCGGGCCCTCAGGCCACCCTCATGAAGTCTGTTTCTGATTGTTTGGTCAGACATTCACATCAGTGGCCTGCTGGAGGTCATTTTGTAGGGCTTTGGCAGTGCTAATCCTGTTCCTCCTTGCACAAAGGAGCAGATACCGGTTCTGCTGATGGGTTAAGGAGCTTCTATGGCCCTGTCCAGCTCTCCTAGAGTAACTGTTTTCTGGAATCTCCTCCATGCTCTTGAGACTGTGCTGGGAGACACAGCAAATCTTCTGGCAATGGCACGTATTGATGTGCCATCCTGGAGGAGTTGGACCTTCTGTGCAACCTCTGTAGGGTCCAAGTATCGCCTCATGCTGCCAGTAGTGACACTGACCCTAGTCAAATGCAAAACTAGTGAAAACAGTCAGAAAAGCTGAGTAGGTAAAAAAAATGTCAGTGGCCTCCACCTGTAAAACCATTCCTGTTTTTGGGGTTGTCTCATTGTTGCCCATTTAGTGCACCTGTTGTTCCTTTCATTAACACCAATGCAGCTGAAACTGATTAACAACCTCCTCTGCTACTTAACTAACCAGATCAATATCCCAGGAGTTTCATTGACTTGATGCTATACTCTGATTACAAAGTGTTCCTTTTAATTTTTTTTGAGCAGTGTATATATCAGCTAAAAGGAGTATTAAACACATCACTATTTTTCTCGGTAAATATATTTCTAAAGGTGCTATTGACATGAAATTTTCACCACATGTCGGTAACAACCAATGCAATCCATACATACAAAAACAAAAACAAATTCAGAAGTTAAGGTGTGTGATAAAATGATACAGGGAAAAAGTATTGAACACGCTAACTGAATTTAATTTAATGCTTCTTACAAAATCTTTTGTTGGTAATGACTGTAGCAATCATGCACACCGAGATGGACGCGGTCATCCATCTTGATAAGAATCTTCCATTTTGTATCATCTCTCTCTCGCAAATCAGGCTTCCTCCTCCAATTTCCCCCCTCCCTCAGGAATGCGGTCTGTGTTAAAAAGTCAACAGGCCCCAGTGGGAGAGCTCCAGGGATAGAAAATTCCAGCCGAGCTGAGGCCTAGATGTCTGTTAATTTCTCAATCTGGGATATCATAAAGCCATAAACTAAGTCCTTCATTGAGCTCAAAGGCATTCCAGGTAGTCGTAAAACAAACTTCCATTTAAAAACTTACTTTTCCATATAATTTATATCTTCAAATAGGACATAATTACATAAACAGGGAGCACATATTCGGGCGGCTCACTTTAAGACAAGTCGCCTGGTATATTACACCCCCTAGCTGGCATATACAGGAGAGCAGAAAATTATATCTCCTGAACCATTCAAGCAGATATTTCATATCTAACCGTTTAGCAGATACGCCTGCATATTAATCTACTAGTGGCAAGGCTGCTAAATGCACCGAGAATAAGTTATGAACCATGTCATCAACTGTGAGAGTTTTGCTCATAGCCTGAGCTCCCCGCCTTTCACAACCCCCTCCCCAAATGAGGCGATTGGTTCTCTGCTTCAGGGGAGACACCCTGTGGAGTTCCTAGAAAAAGCTACATCATCATCATAGTGTTATTGCTGATATTGCCGAGTTTCCTCCTTCTCTGTACAAAAAGGAGGTGGTGGCAGTGTGAAGGGTTAATTGCATAATTAGTAGTCAAAAACAGCAAAAAAGAATAATTAACGAGCGCTTGGAGATGTATAACAAGCAGCTGGCATGAAAGGCACAAACCTCAAACCTTCACACTAAGATAACAACACATGCAGCGCTATAAATGGTTAA